GAAGGCCTGGCCGGCCGCTGTGGGCTGGAGGCAGCTCCAGGGCCTCTCTGGGCACCGCCTGCCGCCCCTTGGCGTCGGTGGCGCACCAGCTCCGGGGAGCGCTCTCGGCCCTTGCAGCCACGTGGCCTTCTGGCCCTCTCAGAGACGGCCGGGAGCACAAAGCACGAAGCCACCCTCCCTGGCCAGTCACCTGCCCTCCCCCCTCCAGCCCCATCCAGCACTGCAGGGAACCAGCCACCGGGCCATCCACCTGCCAGAGGCCTTGAGGCCTCTCTCTGCGTCCAGTTGCTGCTGGCTCCATGGGGGTCCTCACTCAGGGGTCACCCTGACCTCAGGACCGAGGGAGACAAGGCAGGGGCAGTGCATCCTGCCCAGGGAGAGTTGCCATCGAGCCAAACCCCAAAGGATACACGAGAGTCCCCCGGAGGAGCAGGGAGGGACAACAGGCCCAGTGGAGGGACCAGCATGAGGAATGGCCTTTGAGCCCAGATGTGTGTCCTCCATAGGCCTGATGCCAACTAGACACCAGGCTTGCTCCGGGGAGGCCCTGTGAAGGCAGCTCTGGTCACAGATGTCCTCAGCTCTCTCTAGTGTTCAACACGCAGTCGCTGCCTGAGAAATTTCTGTTGAGCTGAGTATGAATGGAAAGGAAGGCAGAGCTCCAAACTGTTACTGTTCCATCATCACCACCGTGTATAAGGATCTGGGCCCATGAAGGGACTTTACCCCCTTGAGCTCTGATCCCTCCAGCCCTTGGAGGTAGATCAGTCTCCCCAATATCCGGTGAAGGAAACTGGGGACAGATGGGCGTGCTGCTCCCAGCTGAGTCCTTCCTAATGCACCTGCTCGTTCCAGAGGCCAGCGGCAGGGTGGCCATGAGTCTGATGGCCTGTGAGTGTCTGCCCGGGCCCGGCCTGGAGCCTGAGCCCTGCTCACGAGTGCGGTCTCAGGCCCACGTGTACCTGGAGCAGATGCGCGACCGGGTGGCTGCGGGGACGCCTGACATGACCAAGCGTGACTATCTGGTAGACGCGGCCACGCAGATCCGGCTGGCCCTGGAGCGTGACGTCAGTGAGGACTACGAGGCGGCCTTCAACCACTACCAGAACGGTGTGGATGTGCTGCTCCGAGGCATGCACGGTGAGGGCTGGGCAGGGGCGGAGTGGGTGGGGAAAGCCCATGCGGGGCTCGTCCTGGCCTCCCTCTGTCCATCCACAACTGGGTGGATGTGCATCGTGCCAGCCCTGCAGGGCCTCTGTGAAGGACAGTGATGCTGGCATTTATTAAGCACTCCCTGTGTGCCAGGCACCATTCCCAGGGCACCTGGATCAACTCATTTGAGCCTCACAGTAGTAGGAATTATTGAGTACGTCATTGCATATAGTTCCAAGTATATAGGAACTATTTTCCTTTTTTTTTTTTTTTTTGAGTTGGAGTCTCACTCTGTCACCCAGACTGGAGTGCAGTGGCTGCTCCCAGCCACCGCAGCCTCGACCTGCTGGGCTCCAGCGATCCTTCCTCCTCAGCCTTCCAAGTAGCTGGAATTACAGGCATGCGCTACGACGTCTGGCTGATTTTTTGATTTATTGTAGAGATGAGGTCTCGCTGCCCAGGCGGGTCTCGAACCTCAATCCACTCACCTCAGCCTCCCAAAGGCGCGGGATTTCAGGCTGAGCCACCGAGCCCGGCTGGAACTATTTTTCAATTTTCATTGTCCAGGTGGGGAAACTGAGGCACAAGGTAGTTAAACAGCTTGCCAAAGGCTCCACAGCCACCAGGGGTTTGAACAGGTTTGCTCCACAGGCTGTGGGCCTGGCTCACTACACGTGACCCAGAGCTGGGCTGGGCTGGGCTGTTGCCCTTGGGAGCTTGCATCTGGGGTGGGGGAGACTGGTGAGTTGATCCTAGACAATTATGGTTCCAGGTAGGAAGAGGATTGAAGGGAAAGGGAAGGGAGGGAAGAGGGAAACTGAGGCCAGACTGAGCCGGCATAAAGCATTTTCTAGAAGTCGAAACTCTAATCTGAGCACTGAAGAATGGTAGGTGTGTTCATTATGCAATCAAAGGAGAGTTCCAGGGAGAACAGCCAAGGCTCAGAGGTGAGCAGAGGTCTCTCCAGAGCAGAGCAAGGTACCTCCATGGTGGGGGAAGCTGGTACTGAGGCCAGCGTGAGACCCCTGTGGGCCTGGGTGGCCAGGAGGGGGCTGGAGTTGGGCCCTTACACACCCCTCCACCCTCCTGCTGGAGAAACTCCACAAAGCCCAGGATTGCAGCCTGTCCAGGGAATTCCTTTGCCAGCCCATCCTGGTCCCCACTCTGGCCTTTTTCACACTGGGCATCAGAGATAGAAGAAGCAGTGCTCTCCAAAAGCTTCCATCTCTTCCTCTGAAGAAATGGACATGGAAATCCCCACCCTGGCCCTTCCCAGGATGTGATGGCGGCCGGCTGGGTGGCTAAGGGGTGACAGTGGTTCCCAGCCTTCTGCCAGCTTCCTGCCTCCTCCCCTGGGGGTCTCCCACCCCAGAGGAGGGGCTCAAGGTGGATTTGGGGTCAGATCTGCTGAACCTCTCCTGGGGAGGGCAGAGGGCAGGCCATGGGTGCTGGAACCCCAGCCCCTGCAAGGCCCGGGTGGGTCTTGGTGACCTCGACCCCCACAGTCGACCCCAACAAGGAACGATGCGAGGCCGTCAAGCTCAAAATTACCAAGTACCTGCGGCGGGCTGAGGAGATCTTCAACTGCCACCTGCAGCGAACTCTGGACACCAGAGCCAGCCCTGGCACGGTGAGGAAGCCGGTCCCCAAACGACTGCGGAGGCAGAGGCGCTGAGGGGAGAGCTCACCCTGGGCTGCTGGGCAGGGCTGGGTGGTGGCACACACATCGGTGTCGTGTGCCGGGGCCACCTCCTGTCCCCTGGCTCCCTCTCCCCATGCCTCACATTCATTCAGTTTCAAACACTTGGCAAGTCATCTCCAGTCCGGTCTGACCCCTCATGGAGCATGTGATGTGTGCATACATGCACAGCCTCATGCATTGCTGCATTGGGTGCCATGTGTGTGCATGTTCCGAGCCACCTGTTCTGCTTCTGTCGTGACCTGGGACACAGCGAGTGTTGGAGCAGACCCCAGCGCCCACATGTGCGCACACACATGGCTCGTGCACTCTTATGTGCAGAGACCCCCACGTGCTCCCCTAGCCCATGGGCACGTGTACCCCTCGCCCATGACGGGCACAGATCCGCGCACCAGCCGAGTCTTGTGAGGCTGCCTTTCCCCAGTTAGGTGCTTGGTCTTCAAGGCAAGTCCCAGGAGACCCCAAGTTTCTAGGTTGTTCCCCCACCCTCACTCCAGAGCATCTGCCCTCTGTGACGGAGTTTTTGCGGGGGGGGGCTTCTAAAGCCCCAAGAACTTGGGCCTTGGACAAGGGCTGTGCGGAGAGGTCATCCTGGCCACCCTAAACTGCTCAGCCTGGGCCTGGAGAGGGGTCTGCCTGTGCGCTGTCCTGCCCGCTGCCTGGGCCTGAGCACGTGGCCTGTCTCCTCCCCTGCAGGGTTTCAGCAGCCTGAGGCTCCGGCCCATCCGTGCACTGAGTTCTGCCCTGGAGCAGCTGAGGTGCTGCAGGGTGGTCGGGGTCATTGAGAAGGTAAGTGAGGGAGCCCGTGGTGTGGGCCTGGGGAGAGCCGTGCTGTGGTGGGAGTGGATCAGTAGCGCTGAGGGCCGGGCAGGGGTCAGAGGGGAGTACAGCCAGTGCCCCCAACCCACACTGCCTGGGGCCTAGAGAGGATGCTTCCATCTCCTCCTTGGATGTGGGGCATGAGAGGTTCTGAGCTCAGACCAGAGAGCCCACCCCCCAGGAGAGTCCAGACAGACGCACAGCAGGACCAGAGCCCGGGCGCCCTGCCAGCCCACGCCCTGCCCCCATAGACTCTCTGTACCCCAGAGCTGCAGGCGAGACCGTCCCCACCAGGCATGGCCAGGAGCTTCCAGAGGCTGGAGTGTCCTCAACTCCAGAGCCTACCCAGGCCCACACTGGCCCGTGCCTCGTCCAGGCCTTGATATCTCTTTCTTTCTCTTCTGCCTGGAGCCCTGCTTCGCCCCGTCCGGCCTCCTCTCCCACCCTTTCCCTTGCTCAAAGCAGATAGGAAGATAAGAGGGGACACCCTGACCCTTACTTGGGGTGTTCATTATTAAAGGGAGGCCAGAGCCAGGCCAACATCTGAGTCTCCTCTTGCTCCCATCCTTGCTAAGGCGGTTTCTTCCTGCACTGGCTGGTTATCAGGACCACCGGGAGCTTCCTAAAACACAGATGCCCAGAAGCCCGTTGTTTAAAACACTTGTCAGGCGACTTCGGCACATCTAGGGGTCCACGGAGGAGCGGAGACCTGCGGGTGCTTCCCCTGTGCAGGAGGGGGCTGGGCCTCGGGGCAGGCCCAGTTAGTGCACAGAGCGGCCACAGGCTGGCTCCCACTCTGAGCTTGGATTTCCTCATCTGTTGAGTGGGTAGGAAGTCTTCCCCTCAGGGTGATTTGTGGAGGAAAATGAAATAATATGGTGGGGGTGGCACGCCCGAGACAGTTGATGAGTGCTGGCTCCAAATGCAAGTGACAGGAGTGGGGTGGGGAGCACACGGGTCCCATCTCCAGGCCCTGCTCTGGCTGCTTCTCCCGGGTCCCTGGAACAGGCCCCAGACGGTTCACAAAGGCCTCTCCAGTCTCCACCTGCAGCAGTTCCAGGCCCAGTGCGCTGGTGTCAGTAGCCGTAGTCCCTAGCCCAAACCTGGCCAAGCACACTGCTCCCAGAGACCCAGGGTGGTGACCAACACCCCTTCTCTGAGTGAGGTCCCTCTCATGAACCGTCCGTTATCATATTGTGGGGTGGTTCCAGTTCAATAAGTCTGGGAAACAGTGAGTGACAGTTACATGACTTTGGTTTTTAACTATAGTTCTCTGAGATTTTAGGGGTCTGGGAGGGGGTGTGTGATACAGAATTGCCCACGCTGGTTTAAGCCCCGGGAAAGCAGTTCAGGAATCTAGCGTCTGAGCCCCCAGCAGACGGCAGGCAGGGACAGAGCTGAGCCAGCCGGCCTGACTCGAGATGCCCTTCTCTCCTTCCCACCTTTCTCGGCACTGACCTTACAGACTCCACCTCCCCTCGAGGGCCTGCTTCCTTTTCCAGTGTCATGCCCAAGCCAGGAGCAGCGCTTTCCCCATGTTAGGAAAGGGCCCTGCCACCAGTTCTGAATATGTCGCACCCCTGCTCCACCGGCAGACTCAGGGGAAGAGCAAAGGCCTTGTCAGGATGGCTAGAGCGCCCCCAAGGGGTACATCCATCAGGGTTCAGGGACTGAGGGGGGTCTCTGGGGGGGCTGGGAGGGGTGGGGCGGCAGGGGCAATGAGGTGGGCAGGTCAGGGACCAGGCCGGCAGCCAGGGCACCTGAGGGTGGGCTCTCAAGGGCGGGGAGACACCACCCAGTCCAGGCGCCAGGCTCTGAGTCGGGGATGGAAGAGAAAAGGTCGGCCAAGTGGCTTCTTGTTTTACTTGGCCCCAACACAGGGATGTTTTAAAGAATTGTTTCATTTTAGAATATGCAGATTTTTAATAAAAGCCCAGATTTCCTGCTTCTCTTGAAAAAGCAGATCTGGAAACATTGGGCTCCAGTTCCCACGTAGCAGCAGGGAGCAGGGGAAGGCCTGCCCGCTCCCAACGTGCCCCAGTTCGCCTGCATGCCTGTAGCCGGCCACCTGGCTCTCATGTTCGGTCCTTGTGGGACTTTGCATTTGAGAACCTGTCGGAAGCTTTTGGATTTCTTTACTCCATGAGAGGTCCTCCTGGATTTGGACACTTTGGGCATCTTTTTAAAAAATTTATTTTATTTTTTGGGAGGTCGGAGTCTCATTCTGTTGCTCAGGCTAGAGTGCAGTGGCACGATCTCAACTCACCACAGTGTCAGCCTCCTGGGCTCAGGCAGTTCTCCTGCCTCTGCCTCCTGAGTAGCTGAGATCCAGGCATGGGCCACCATGCCCAGCTAATTTTTTGATTTTTGTAGAGAGGCGGTCTCGCTATGTTGCCCAGGCTGGTCTCAAACTCCTGGCCTCAAGAAATCCTCCCACCTCAGCCTTCCAAAGTGCTGGAATGACAGGTGTGAGCCACCCCACCTGGTCAGTTTGTGTATCTTTTAAAGAAAAAGCTTACTTTGTTTCACCAAAGTTTCAATTGTCCCTGAGTCCCAAGAACTCATGGATCTGTTAATTTTAAAAGACTGCCTAAACCAAACCAAACAGAACCAAACCAAACCAAACCAAACCAAACCAAACAAAAACCAAAACGGGAGGGGCAGGGGGTGGGAGGAAAAAAAAAAACAAAAAATGGTGAGAGCAGGCACCCAGAATTGCCATCTTCCCAGAAGGGAGGTGACCCTGGTGGTGGTAAGGGCATGACCGTCTACAGAGCAGAGGTATTGAGCCCTTGGTCGCCCTTGGCGAGAACATTATACATTATACCATACTGTCCAACGCAGCAGTCACTAGTCTCTTGAGACCATGGGCATTAACACCAATGAAAATGAAATAATCTGTGTCTTAGTTGCACCAGCCGCATTTCTAGGGCTTGATGGCCTCTTGTGGCTACTGGCTTCTGTAATGGACAGTGCAGACATATGATCCTTCCTTGCATGGGAAGAAGGTCTGTGGAACAGTGCTGCATTTGAATAACTGTCCTTCAGAAAGTGAAACTGGAGTACGTAGAGGTCATGACTACATAGTGCTCCATCCCCTAAACTTCTGAGCAAAAGATGAAGGGGACTTTGGCTGGATGTAGTGGCTCACACCCAGGGCTTTGGTAGGCTGAGGTGGGAGGATTGCTTGAGGCCAGGTGTTCAAGACCAGCTTGGGTAACATAGCAAGAGCCCGTCTCTACTAAAAATAAAAATTAAAGAAACTAGCTGGGTGCCATGGCTCACACCTGTAATCCCAGCACTTTGGGAGGCAGAGATGAGAGGATTGCCTGAGACCAGGGGTTCGAGACCAGCCTGGGCAACTTGGCAAGACCTCATTTCTACAATAAATCAAAAAATTAGCCAGGTGTGGTGGCGCATGCCTATAGTTCCAGCTACTTGGAAGGCTGAGGCAGAAGGATCATCTAAGCCCAGCAGGTTGAGGCTGTGGTGGCCGTGAATGTACCTCTGCACTCCAGCCTGGGTGACAGAGTAAGACTCCAACTCAAAAACAAACAAACAAACAAAAAAAAGCAGCCAGGCACGGTGGCTCATGCCTGTAATCCCAGCACTTTGGAAGGTAGAAGCGAGAAGATTGCCTGAGCTCAGGGATTCGAGACCAGCCTGAGTAACATGGTGAGACCTCATCTCTACAGTATATCAAAAAAGCTACTTTGAAAGGCTGAGGCGGAAGGTTGACCTGAGCCCAGCAGATTGAGGCATGGTGGCTGTGTGCATGGCGCTGCACTCCAACCTGGCTAACAGAGTGAGACTCCAACACAAAAAAATAAATTAGGTGAGCATCTGTAATCTTGGTTGTTCGGGAGGCTGAGGTGGAGGATCACTTGAGTCTGGGAGTTCAAGGCTATAGTAGCTATGATCGTACCACTGCCTGGGCAATACAGCAAGACCCCAGCTGGAAAAAAGAGAGAGAGAGGAGGGAAAGATTTTTTAGTCTGGTTGTATTAGTGGGAAAATGCCTCCTCTGCTGCCTTTTTGAGATATTTTTAAGATTAATTAATTAATTATAAAGATGTGGGGTACAGTTCAGGGCTAGGTATACAAACATTGATCATGCAGGTACCCTTGTTGATGAGGCACGCCCCTCCCTCCCCTAGCAGCTTTTTTGAGATATTAATGAAAGAAAAGAGAGCTTAAAACAAAACATTCCCTGACATATCACCTAACTCCAAAATAATCACTGCTAATGTTCTGGTCTCATTCTTTCTAGATAAATAGGTTAGTTTTTATCTATTTTTAAAAACCCAGTTGTTTCAATGCATGGATCAAATTTTACTTCTGGCTGCCCCTACTTTCCCTGATGTTTTTTGAGCTCTGTAAGTCAGAGGACCTTTCTCAGGACAAGGCGGTGGGGAACCCCACTTGGCAAGGGGGAATGGGGATTATCCAGGGTGTCAGGACTTGTGGGAAACTCTGTTCCCCTAAATGACTCCAGCATTGCCTTCCTTTCTTTTGCAAGTGTTGCACAAGTCTGCCCAGGGAGCCAAGGCCTGGCAGGCTTGTTCCTGGCCACTGGAGGAGAGACCTCTGGTGGTCGGAAGGGACACCTCGCTCCTGGGCGCTCATCTAGTCCACTGCCTTCATTTTACTGGTGATGGAGAAACTAAGGCCCAGGGGATGGCACTTGCCAAGGTCACCTGGTTTTGTCCAGTTGCAGTGTAGTCTGCAGGGCCCCGGGACCAGCCTGCCTGGATTCAAATCCTGACTCTACCACATTTTAGCAGTGGGCAATGGGCAACATAACTTCTTTGGACCTCAATTTCTTCACCAATAAAACAGCTCACTAACAACTCAATAATAAATAATAAATAATAAATCCTGGCAGGATTATGGGAATAAAATAACTACACCAAGTTCCTAGCACAGAGTAAGCGCCTTATAGCCAGATGGGCTCCCCTCAGTGACACTGGTAACAGTTACCACGGATGACCGAGCATGTTCTGTGGCATTTTGGCTGGATGCAGTGGCTCACTTCTGTAGACCCAGTGCTTTGGGAGGCTGAGACGGGAGGATCACTTGAGTCACCAGTAAACCCAGTGCTTTGGGAGGCTGAGGCAGGAGGATTGCTTCAGCCCAGGAGGTTGGCTGCAGTGAGCTCTGATCATGCCACTGTAGCCTCCAGCTTGGGCCACAGAGTGAGACCCCAACTCAAAAAAAGGGTGGGAGGGAGGTGGGTGGGGTGGAGAGCCTGAGGCAGCAGGAGAGCCTGAGCCTGGGTGACCTGCAGCTGCCCTCCCAGGGCCTCAGCTTCCCCACTCCCCAAACAGGAGATCAAGGCCGTGATGGGACCCGAGGTCCCTCCAGCAGACACCCTCAGACCTTGCAGGGTGGTGGGACTCTGCTGAGGCCTGGGTGAGGGTGAGCTCGTGGATCAGGTGGCGCAGGGCCTCCTCGGCCCTCCTGCAGGCCATGTGGGCCTGGCCTGGGCAGGAGGGAGGGCATTCTTCTCACCTGTCCCCTTCCCATTGAGGCTGGGCGGAGACCTGGCTGCCCACCATGCATGTGTGCAGCACCTGTGGCAGCCCTGCACTGTGCAGGGCCATGGGAACACAGCTGGACAGTGTATTCCCTGCCCTCACGGAGCTCCAGTCCAGTGGGAGACAGGAGACTAGACACGGTGTGATAAGGCTCCCCGAGAGCATCTGGGACAGATTAGGGACCCCAGCCCCTAATCTCAGGAAGGCTTCCTGGAGGAGGCAGCAACTGAGCTAAGACCTGCAGGCCTAGCAAGGGTGAATGAGAGGACAGGATCGGTGTCAGCGAGCGCTGCCAAAGCCTGCTCTCCCAGCCCTGCCCTGGAGTAAGCCAGCCTCGGTGAAGGAACACAGGGGCCTTGGGAGCGGGACCATGAAGCTCCAGGAACTCCCAATGCCCTGACCAGTGCCTCCTGGACCTCGGCAGGTGCAGCTGGTCCAGGACCCGGCAACCGGAGGGACCTTCGTGGTGAAGGCAGGTGTTCCGCGTCCCCTGTTCCGCATCCCCACAAGGCTTGCTCAACTCTTGGAGACCCCAGCACAGAGGCTGCATCTGAAGCCCACGCTCCCTCCAGCCCAGAGGCCCTGTCGCCCAGACACACGTGCACACGCACACACGCATGCACGCTGAGGGTGGAGGGTCTGGATTCCATGGGGAGATGGGTGAGGCTAGATCAGGGGCAGCTGTTTCCTCGCCTGGGTGCCGCTGAAGCTGAGGCCAGGGCGTCCCCAACTGACCCGCCTGCCCGCCCCCTGCAGAGCCTCCCCAGGAGCCACGTGGCGAACCGGGAGCGACCCACCATCATCCCACACGGGGTTCCCTACATGACGAGGCTGTTGCGGTACTTCGTGAGCGAGGACTCCATCTTCCTGCACCTGGAGCACGTGCAAGGTGCGGGGCCTGTGGGGGATTTTCACTTGCCCCTTAAGCTGCCAAGCCGGGGAGGGATGCAGCTGGTTGGTACCACGTGTGCGGCACAGACTCAGCACCCAGGCCTTCTGGATGCAGATGGCGGCTACAGACTCCTATGGCCTCTGTGGGACCAAGGTCTGGGGACATTTATACAGCTGTCTCCTTTGTCACCATTCCCTCCATTCCTTTGGGCTGTGCCCATCTCAGGATAAGAGGTAGGTCACGTAGCAGGTTACTGATGCTTGTAACAAGGTGCACATCTTTGGGTCATGACATGCAGTCACCCCAGGTCTATGCCTGGCCTTCTTTAAAGTTTGTTACACCAGCTTCCCTAAATACATATAATATGCTGGACAGTGGTGAACCCATCCTCTAAGCCAAGGACATCAAGAGTACTTTATGCCCACCTGGGATAGTCATCTGGCATGCCTGGTTGCAAGGCAGGGCCTGTTGCAGGTGGGAGAGAGAAGGGTGACGACATTCTAGGATGGGGTGGGAGGTGGTGGAGGGGAGGGAGCGGAGCCAGGCCTGGAAGGGGAAGGGCAGGTGCCCAAGACAGCGGGGAGGTGGGTTAGGCTGGGGACCTGGTGACCACACTCTTTTCCCTGTCCCACCCACCTCCTCCTCTTCCTGGCCAGGAGGCACTCTCTGGTCCCACCTGCGCTCCCAGGCACGACCCCGGCATTCTGGACTCAGGTCTGGCCGCACCCAGGAGAGAATGAAGGCTCAGCCCAGCTCCCACCTCGGCCTCCAGACCCCTGGGCAGGACAGAAGCCTCTCGGAGTCCCCACAGACTTCCCAGAGCCTCCCCCCCGCTGGGGAGGCCCCATCCGCCAGCCCCCAGAATGGAGTTGAGGGGGAAACCCCAGCCAGGACCAGCTCTTCCTGCTCCCTGGACCTTGCAAAGGTCCCTAGTGGCCACCTGCACATTCCAGCCAGGCGGCCTGGCCAGAGCTCGGACCCTGGGCCCTCTCGGGGGCTCCCGTGGGTGCACAAGGGGGCTGGCCGGGTGCTGGGAGGCTGTGGCAGAGGCAGGGGTCAGGGCCACCCATCCACAGAGGGCACTGGCTGGTGGGGCAGCGGCGAGGCCTGGAGCGTGAGGGAGGAGCAGGCGAAGCGGTGGGCAGCTGAGATACTGCTGGCCCTGGAGGCGCTCCACGAGCAGGGCGTGCTGTGCCGGGACCTCAACCCCCAGAACCTGCTCCTGGACCCAGCAGGTGGGTGCCTTGTCCTCCAGGTGGGGGGTCCCCAGACTTCCAACAGTCAGAGCAGCCTCAAGCTGTCACTTCTCCCTGCCCCATCCAGCCTGTTACTTGGGAGAGGGCCTGCTGGCCAAGGCAGAGCACGGGAGCAGCCCCTCCCCCCAGGGGCCCAGGGCAGCAGCTCTGGCGCCTGCAGGGAGGCTTTGCTCACTCAGATGCCTGGCCACTGCTTGGTGACAGCATTCTCAGTCTCTGTCCTCTTCCCTCCCCCCACACACTGGACGAGAAGGCCACATCCGGCTCACCTATTTTGGCCAATGGTCAGAAGTGGAGCCCCAGTGCTGCTGGGAGGCCGCGGACAACCTGTACAGTGCCCCAGGCAAGGGGGGCCCCTAGGTCCTGGGTGACTTTACAGGGCTCAGGATGGGGGGAGGAGGACGGAGAGAGGCCCCTGGGCCAGGCTGGAACCCATGAGTCTTGCTCCTGCAGAGGTGGGTGGCATCTCCGAGCTGACCGTGGCCTGTGACTGGTGGAGCTTCGGGGCACTCCTATACGAGCTGCTGACGGGAGTGGTGAGTGGCCACAAAGCAGAGCCCTGGATGCCCTGAACTTGGGGGCAGGGCTCATTCCACTTAGCAAGGTCTGGGCAGAGACTGCCTGACCTTGAGGGGGCTGTCACAGGCGGGGGACGCTCAGCACCCAGCACTAGTGGCCACAGCTAATGAGACAAGCCACCTATACCAATAAGGGCTGAGTTGGTGGTCAGGGAAGGCTTCTGGAAGAGGGAGCCAGGGCCCAGGTGTGGAGGGAGCATGGAACAGGCACAGCCCTGCCTCCTGGGCAGTAGACCATCTGGCCTCCTCTCTCCCCACTGTCTGCTCCTCCCACCCATGCCTTTGGGACTGTTGCTCCCAGACCATGACTAGAGGCCAGATGGGCTCTACACCCAGGCCAGCAGCTGCCTCGTCCAGCCTGGGTTAACCATGAGTGCAAGGCTGCCTGCAGGCCCCACTGCACAGGGTGATGGCTCTGCCTTCTGTCCTCCCTGGGTGAGCTCAATGCCGTATCTGTGGCCAGTTACATCAGGGGGCTGCACTGCGCATGAGCATAAGACAGCCTGGAGTCCAGATCGGACCTGTCCACCCTGGTCCCCTCCTGCTTTGTCCCGCAGGCCACGGCCTCCTTAAGCCCTGGCAGCAAATGCCACCGAACGGCTCTCTCCTCTGGCCTCCCCCCAGCTCCCCTGCTAGCGCTCCTGGCCTTCCTCCTGGATCCTCAGAGTTCATGTGTCCCTCTCTCCTCCCACAGCTGCACTCCCTGGGGTGTGGAGGCCCTGTGTTCTTTTCTCACCCTGCCCCTACCTTGGCCCCATGCCAGGGCCTCTGTCCAGTGCACAGCCCGTGGGGACTTTTTTCCATAAGGAGACAAGTTCCAGCGCTGTTCCCAACTGAGTGCCAGCCCTCACTGCAACCCAACCCAACATGCTTCCAGCAAGTCTGGAGTCAGAGATCTGGGTTCGGACCCAAGTTCAGCACGAGCCCTTTTACCCCTCTGGGTGGGCCTGCCGCTTGTCTTCAGTGGGTAACAAACATCAGCAGTGTCTGACCTGCGGTGGCTCCAGAGCAGAAGGCAGCTCCCATCACCACCATCTTCATCTCCTCATCCCCACAGGATGTTACATGGGGAAAATCCTAGCTGCCACTGGGGTGAAGACTTTTCCAGGGTTGCCTCCTCAGAGGCCCTTCCCTGTGTTCTCCCAGGCACTGTCCCTGAGCCACCCCTCGGGAATCCAGGCCCACACCCAGCTCCAGCTGCCTGAGTGGCTCAGCCGCCCCGCAGCCTCCCTGCTGACCGAGGTGAGGTATAGCAACCTGGCCGGAGGCAGCAGCCCAAGGGTGGGGCCTGGGGCAGAGCCTAGTGTGCCTTGTACCGGGGTCTGATGTGAGTACAGGTGGCAACGGGGACGACACATTTCTGTAGCTTGGTGGCTAATCGCTACCAACAGTCCCCAGAGTGGAACAGAGAGGCTCAGTGGGCTGGGTGGCAGGAAATGGTCCCTGGGGCCATGTGCTTGGGGCCCTGGAAGTTAGCCTGGCCCAGTGGTGTGCAGGGAGGACTGCCCCAGGTGCTGACAACAGCTCTCCACAGCTGCTGTGGTTCAACCCCACACGGCGCCTGGGCGCCAGGGTTGGCGGTGTCCGCGAGCTCAAGGCCCACCCCTTTTTCAGCAGCGTCCAGTGGAGCAGACTGGCAGGGTAAGGGGGTCGGGCAGGGTAGCCGGGGCCTGGGCAGATCCTGTCACCTTCCATCAGTGCACTGCAGGTGGAGAACCCAGGGCAGCTACCCTTCCTGTCACCCCCAGGGCCTCAGAAGGAATGACCATCACTGTGCCAGGACTACTAACTCCTAGAAGAGGAGGCAGGGCCAGCGAGGCCACCCCAAGCAGCTTGACCCCTCTACCCATCGGTCAACAGACACCTGCTGAATGCAGACCTTCGAGTGAAAGGACGCCTGTGCCCTTGACTCAGAACTGACACCTACCGAGCCCACCCAAGGTTCTGGGACTCACTCACCGCCACGCAGTGCCCACTTGGGCCATCTCTGGAGAGACATCTCAGGACACTGACTCACTGGCTCAGTGGACCCAACCAGGTTGTCCTGGCTGTTCCTCTTGGTCATGCAGCTGGAAGCTGTGGAAGCTGGGGGGCAGGGGAGAGGCCTGCAGGGCAGGGAGGAGCGGGGCAGAATGAGCCACTCCCATCCTGACTGTGCCTTTATCTGGTGACTTCAGAGAGCAAAAGGGAGGGGAGGAAAATGAGAGGAGGAAGGGGGAGAGGGAACGGAGCACACAGAGCATAGAAGAGCCTCCTCCCCACGTGTGTGGCGGGAGGCTGCCCTGACCAACAAGACACCCCAGCCTCCAGGCTGAGGTGCTGCTGCCTGGATCCCTTCCCAGGAGATGCTGTTGACCACTGCTCCTTAGTCCCATGGGTCCACTCTTCTCACAGCCCAGTGATGCCCCACCTCTCAGAATGAGAAACATGGATGACTGCCCATGCCCATGCATAGTTAGATGGTTGGTTCTGGTCTTTAAAGAGTGGGGGTGAGTGGTACCCTGAGAAACCCCCCCCAGGTTTGGGGGCCTCCTCTCAGGACTTGCTGGCATTTCAGTGTGACCTCTGAGGAAGCTCTGCCCCAGACCCTTCCACCAGTGTCCCTGACACCACCAGTTGGTGCCTCTGACGCCATCATCAGTCCACCACGTCCCAGCTCCCTGGAGCCTGTTCTGGGGTTGATGCTTCCCAGATGTCTCTGGGGCAGAGAGGATGTGGGAAAGGGTGGCCCGTGTGCGTTCCCTGGAGTTTGCCCACCTCAATAAAGCCAACTCCTGGCTATGGCATCCATGCTTCATTCATGCAGTGAGGGGCCTGCAACAAGCAGATGAGAAGTCCCCTGAGAAGGCCACTACAGAAGTGGGAAGCAGGCAGGTGGGACGCCCCACAGGGCACTGTGGCCTTGGGGGAAATGGTGGATAGGAAGAAGGAAATGGTGCAGGGAGAGAAGCCCTGGAAAAGGATCATGATGCCTGGAGGGCACTAGTGAATCCCCCTGATCCGACAGATGCTGGAAACAGGCTCACCAAGGTGACAGATGCAAACTGGTCAGAGCCGTGCAGAACTATCCAGAGTTGGGTTCCTTCTGCTCCATGCCCTAAGCTAGGCTGACAATGTGCAACCCCTGCCCCATGAAGCCCAAGTCACTGCGGGACTTCTAGGCCTTACCCATCCCACATGCACTGCACACCGGGCACTCTGTGAGGCCCCAGTTTAGAACACTGTGGTTCCAAGTTCTGCGGGGCTCACAGCCTTTCGATAAAATGGAGCAAATAACACCTTCTTTGTAGGCTTACTAGAGAAATGAGTTTCTAGCTCCAGGCCCTGGACCTGACAGATCCTTTTGAAGCTCTTCCTTTCACTGAATTCTTTTTTCTAGTCCACTAGCTCTGGTTCCACCCTGGGGGACCCGCTTCCTTCCTGCGACCATAAAGGGGCAGCCTCACTGCAAGCGATCAGCAAACAGGGACTGTGTGTGGCAAAACAGGGATGTTGAAGCCTAGACACAGTCACTCCTGCCACCAAGTCAGTGTAGGTCAGTCGCCAGCTCTGTCCACTCACCCTCACAGATCCGAGATGACTCTAGGCCATCCCAGGATTTGCTAATACTGACCTCAACCACCATGGTGAAGTGGTGCTTGTGCCATGTGGAAATCAAGTCCACAGGGAATAAGAGATGCACTCACCTCTCCCCAGTCGATCCCAGAAACAATGCAAGCCCCCACAAAAATGCAAATGTCTATTGTTGTTTTGGAGGGGCTGCACAAGGTAGGGACCCCAATTTCTCTTACAGTGTGGCAGGCTCAAAGGGGCTCACAGGAAGGCAGCAGGGGCACTAAGATGGGCCAGCAGTCAGGGCTCTCTATCTTCTGTCAAATTAGTAGTGCTAACTCACTAAGAAAGCATGGGATGGCCAGGTGTGGTGGCTCACACCTATAATCCCAGCATTTTGGGAGGCCAAGGAGAGAGAAAATTGCTTGAGCCCAGCCTAGGCGACACAGCCAGACTTTGTCTCTACAAAAAAACTAAAAACATTAGCCAGGTATAGTAATGCTTGCCTATAGTCCTAGCTTCTTAGGAGGCTGAGGTGGCAAGACAGCCTGAGTCCAGGAGGTTGAGGCTGTGGTAAGCCACGATTGAACCACTGTACTCCAACCCGGACAAAAGTGAAGCCCTGACTCAATGCCCCCCCGCCAAAAAAACCCTCTTGATTAAAAAAACAAAAACAAAAACATGGGATATTTCGAGATAACCAAAAAGACAGTCAGTGATTCTCGATGCTAATGACAATCATGGTGCGACAGTGCTGGGGATGTTTATAAACCTACGTACCCAAAAGGAGCACAGATACAGGAACCCTGTTTGAGAACATTTGCCCTTTAATTTGCGTTTAAAATCTGTTTCTTTAAATATTTTAGTTACAAGTTCTGAATAGTGAAGACAGAGTAGTGGATGCTGCAGGCACTCAGTACTGGCTCCCATTCCCAACCCCCCCCCCAGGTCTTGCCTCTTGGCTCTAGATACAAAAGGGCACTCCCCACTCTGAATGGCCCAGTGTCAAGCATCAGCAGCGTCTGACCTGGATGCAGTTGGACACAAAGCCATGACTTCCTGTGGCTCTCACAAGATGCTTGCTTGCATTTAACCATGCTCCAAGGAATTCCACTGTGCCCAGACCCAAAGGCAGGACCTTTGAGACACCTCAGCCATGTCTCCACTAGGTGCTGATGCCTTAAGGCTGGTTTCTTCCACAGTCCATCATCCCCCAGACCTGTGTCCTACAGAGGAAGTGCCAAGGCCCTGCTCCCTACGGCTAGAACGCAGGAAGGAACAGAGCTGCTTCCTCTGCCCACATGCACACCAACTTGAAAGTGAATGCTCAAGTCAACCAGGGCCAGTCCAGAGACGGCACTCCCCAGTCACCACCCTTCCTTGTGACCATGCTCCATCCCACTGCCATGATGTACAAGAATCTGTTCTAAATGAGAACAAGGTGCTAAATGGTTCCTAGCAGCCTGGAAAGGGTCTGGAAAGAGCTGGCACGACCACAGCTGCATGTGACTGTGACCATAGCTATGTGTGATTGTGCCACAAGTCTTCTTGGTGTGAGCCTGTGCTGGGAAGTGAGGGCAGGCCTGGGCTGTGTGCCCACCTATGACTACAACAAACGACCTCAGGAGCCTCTGCCCTCTCCCCCAACTCCACACATCCCACCCTCGCCCTGCCCAGATCCCCTGCCCTGTGCTTCCTGGAAGAGGTAGAAGAGGCATCTTGACGTCAATGATAGCTGAGAACAAAGGTGCCATTTAAGAAGCAAAGCAGCACCTCTTGGCCTGTGTTCAATACCTCCACACAGGTGGGACCAAGTGACAAGAGACTGCTCAGAACTCATGGGCACGGCACCCTCCTAGGTGTCTCTGGAGAACAGACTTCAAATGACAGACCCTCAATCACATGGTCCCCGGTGGTTTCCCTCTAGTATACCGGCACTGGGGAGAAGCAAACCCATCTCTGTAGAGGGCTTATGGAAGAAGGCAGGAGTATTAGTGAGCATCCATGAAGGGTCTCTCCCTCTCAAGCCTAAGGAAACAGGACAGCCGAGGAAAGAGACGGGTGCAGAGAAGGGGAGAGCCTGGTGGGAACACCAAGAGACCTGTGGCTGCCGGTTACATAGTGCCCTGCTTCTTTGATTGAGGTCAACAGCATGTGCCCGCCTGTCTCCAGGCTAACCCAGGACCCAAGAGGGGATAGGGAGAAGACTGGTTTTCAGTTCCTGCAGGATCCATCTGGAGGGCATGTGGCCTCCTCCTAAAGGTCCAGGAGGAGGACTCTGGGATCCTCGACTGCTGCCTTGATTTTGCGGAGGAAGGTCACAGCCTCTCTGCCGTCGATCAGCCGGTGATCATAGGTCAGTGCCACGAACATCATGGGCCGCACTTCCACCTAGAGGAGCAGTTGGCAGGTTTGTCTCAGCAGGTGAGAAATGGCCCTGCTGCTGCTGGAGGAGGAGACCAGAAGTATGGCCCGTAGGAAAGTTCCTGGTCCCAGAGCCTTCCCTATTGATGTTGCCTCTGGATACTTTCATATTTTCAAAGTGCAAAGCTTCCCCACTCAGAAAAAAGCTTTACCAAGGAGATAGTAGTCTCCTCATAGCTACCTTTTATTAATTTTAACTTTTTTGAGTCAGATTCTCACTCTGTTGCCCAGGCTGGATTACAGTAGCATGCTCACAGCTACCACAGCCTCGACCGCTATGATCAGGCAATCCTTCTGTCTCAGCCCTACATGTAGCTGGAACTAGAGGTGCATGCCATCACACCCGACTAATTTTTTTATTTTCTGTAGAGACGAGGTCTCACCAAGTTGCCCAGGGGTCTTGAACCCCTGGGCTCAGGCAATCCTCTCACCTCGGCTTCCCAAAGTGCTGGAATTTCAGGCATGAACCACTGTGCCTGGTTGCCTTTTATTTTTTTTAAACTATACTCTGACCTCTAACTCATCTGTTACCTACAGGGGTAGTTTCCCTTCAGTTGCTTCGTGGGGATATAATTTAACCTGGGGTCTACAAATTCTCTGAAATTGTATGCCAAGTTGGGTGTGTGGGCATTTTCTGGGGAGAAGATCTATGGATTTTGGACAAACAAAGGAGTTAGTGACCCAAAAAGATTCTTAACACAGGAGTTCCAGAAAATTCCTGTAAACATTGTCTCCCAAGGGGCCACCTTAAGCCCCTTCTACTTCATTCCCTGAACTCCAGAGGACATCTGAGCCTTATCGTACAATGCAGCAGCACCCAGAACTGCTCGGCATCACTGTCCTGTTTTCCAGGAGCAAGGGACTGTTCTCCAGCTGAATCCCCACTCCCTGTGGCACCAAGACGGTGAAGCTTGTTGACTGGTCCTGGATGAAAGTGCTAACAGCCTTTTCAGTCAGTGGTTCTCAAACTTCAACACGCATCAGCATCATCAGCACGTCTGTTTCTCTAAGTTTAAGAACTTGCATTTCTAACAAGTTCCCAGATGACGCTGATCCACAGACCACAATCTGAGAACCTGTTCCATACCTATTAATTAGAAACTAAGAAGTGGACTTAGGCCTGAAATTACAGCGAAAATATTCATTGTTTTCGCTGTAATTTCACATAATTAGCACTTAGTTGGATTTCCCTCTAATCCTGACCTATCCACTGGGACCTTAGAAGGGATGGCTCCTACCTTGCCTCCCACGGCCACAGGCCTGTCGAAGATGCCATGCATGCCCAGGATGGCAGACTGTGGGGGGTTGATTATGGGCGTCCCAAAGAGTGAGCCAAAGACACCTCCGTTGCTGATGGTGAATGTGCCACCATCCATATCTTCAATGGCAAGTTCATTCTTTCGAGCCTAAAAACAGATTTCATGACTGAAATATTAAGTCAGCCAGCTTCCTTCACCCAAGAAAAGCACAGAAAGTGTGTATGTGAGATCAACAGCATAGCAGTGTCACTGCAATGGCTGTGACCAGTGCTCCCTAGAGAAAAGGCACAATCCACAGAGGTGGGGACAACCTCTTCTTTCTCAGCAGTCTCATTTGATGAGATCTCAGGCACCGGAGCATGGTAAGCTCTGCTGGGTATATGTTTTCAACTCTTCCGGGTTATTGCCTTTCTCTATGGCTTGTGGGCAAGCCCCTCACAGGCCCTTCCCTCACCTGTCTGCAGCCCTACACGTTCCCTTCTACTTTACCTTCTCTCCCAGCTCAGTGATGGTCCGTTCAATATCTGCATAATTCATGGCTTCCACATTCCTGATGACAGGAACCACGAGACCCTGAGGGGAGTGAAAAGCCAGTTCAAATGCAATTACTAGTACCATTCCTAGGTATGACCCCTTGAGTCAAGTCAACTGCCTTCCTGTCCTAGATTCCTTCATCACCCAATGTAATGAACAGAAAGTCTAAAATGTTTAGGCTTGACATTAAAAGAATGAGTATGGCAAAAAAAATAGGTTAACTTTTACAAATTCCCTTCTAAAAACACAGAATTACAGAAAATTCTGTGATCTGATCTTATTCACACAAAGTAAGGGTCCAAGATTAGTGCAGCCCACCTGCTGCCCCAACATACCCGTGGGGTGGCCACCGCAACACTGATGTCGATGTAATCCCTATATACCACCTCTTTGGTTGTGTCATCAATCACTACAGAGAAAACACATGTTATGATGAGTCATACTTTGCATTAACAGAGTAAAAAACCTGCAGTGCCTGATACAGTGTGGACTTACCAGCTGACATGAAAACCACTGCATTACGAATGGCAGCCGGCACTCATGTGCTCCCATCCCAAACAAGTCATGACCTCCCAAGTCCCCTGACAGAGCCTGAGCACAGAGCAGCCATGTCTCCGGCTGCCCCCAGAAGGATCCACACACTGGTTCACACAGGCTGGGAGTGCGCTGGGTTCTTCTTACCAGCTCTGCTCGAGCCTTCCCTTACCAGAGGAAGGCAAATGCTCCACACAGGCAAATGAGCAGAGGGAAGAGGGTGCAGAGATGCCACCACTCTCTGCTGCCCCCTCTCAGCAGAGGAAGAGAGAGGAGATCCAGGAGGAAGCAGAGTGGTCTGGCTTTACATAGCCTAGCGTGAGAAATGACAGACCAGCAGCTGAAAATGTACATCTAGCACTCAAGGGAAAATTAAGGCCTGGGAATCTTTTCCACAGAAAGAAAGTCTATGTTGTCTTGTGAAATGAGACACTCAGAGAAGGAAAGTGTTTAAAGTGAAAAAGAGGCCAAGGGAACTGTGACAGATGCCTACACGATGGGCAGGCAAAGCAGGGCAAGGAGGAGGATGGAGAGCACCAGTCAGGAAAAGAATGGGAGAGACAAAACGAGGCGCATGGCTGGGCAACACAAAGATGGCCCTGCTGCTGCCCTAAGCACTCACTCAACGGGAGGGACAGGGCTTCTATTTCTAGATCTTTAGGGACCTGGATACTGCCGACTACAGAAGTGTCACTGACCCCTCTGCAATCTTTCAAACAACAAAAAAGTTCCTCAATGGGAAACAGAGCAGTGTTAGGTCTCTGTTGTTAGGTCAACACTCCAATGACGCAAGTGAGTAAAAAGGAAAAAAAAATAAGCACCAAGTCCATGACAGAGAGGCCAAGCCCAGGGCTTCCCAATGACACTCATCGACCTGTGATCAAAAGTTACCCTGGAAACTATGACAAGTGTGGAAGTCAAGCCCCAAGACAACAGGACCCGGGGGGTGAGATGCAGTCAGAACACAGGCTTCCATCCTGACACAAGACAGCTCAGTCACCCCAAAACTGCCTGTGTTGCGCAGCTGCCAAGCTGCACACTGGGAGAGAACTGTTCCACCCACTGTTGGCAGAAAGCGATCATGACACATCAGGAAGGTCAGTCAAGAAGTCCTTGAGGAAGACGTTCATATTTCCACAGGTATGAAACAAAAAGCCTTGGTGTGTTAACCCGTGGATGTGGGAGCAGGCCTGTGTCCATCCACCCACCTCCCAGAAGTCTGCAGTTCTGACCACAATGAACTCACCTGCATTGACAACAGGCTGTTCCTGTAGGGCAAAGGCTGAGGCCTTTACAAATGCTGACATAAAGCCCAGCTTGAGGTTATGTTTCTTCAGAAAAGCATCTTTGTGCCGAGCCCTCATCTCCTGGATGTTACTGTAAAAACATACCACAAAACAAACTGACCACAAATAATGTTTCTGACATTCATGCAAGTTTTTAACTCCCTGTACACAATTGAGTAAGCTTTTTGCTTCCAATGGACCATTACCTTAGTTCAAGTGTTGAAATAGTCCATTAGTGCAGCGGTCCCCCCAGTTTCTGGCATCAGGAACCAGTTTCGAGGAAGACGATTTTTCCACAGGTGGGGGTAGGGAGTGGATCATCAGGGATTAGATTTTCACGAGGAGCACACAACCTGAATCTCTCACATGCGCAGCTCACAAAAGCATTCACACTCCTATGAGAATCTAATGTCACCACTGATCTGACAGAAGTCAGAGCTCAGGTGGTAATACAAGAGATGAGGAGCAGCTGTAACTACAGATGAAGCTTTGCTCACTCACCTGCCACTCACCTCCTGCTGTGCAGCAGGGTGCCTAAGAGGCCACAGACTGGTACTGGTGCACAGCCCAGGGATTGGGAACCCCTGCACTAGAGGTCAACAAAGTAACTTTGTCCTTTTTACAAAAACTGGGTATAAAGGAATCAGGTCCAATATGTCTGCACGGTGAGCTCTCTATAGGCTCCTTCATGTTCTAGAAGTCACAGATTTTAGTGACAGATAATATGAATGAGATCACACACACCAATATCCTTGCCTTAGATGAGAAAATTGTGAGTTAACCTGAAAAAAGAGTTGTTGTTTGTTTTTGTTCTTGACTTGGAGTCTCACTCTGTTGCCCAGGGTGGAGTGCAGTGGCTCATAGCCACCCCAGCATCGACCTGCTGGACTCCGGAGATCCTTCCGCCTTAGCCTTCCAAGTAGCCAGAACTACAGGTGCGCGCTACCACACCCGGCTTATTTTTTATTAATTGTAGAGAAGATAAATCATCAGGTTGCCAGATTGGTCTTGAACCCGTGGGCTCAGGCAATTCACTTGCCTTGGCCTCCCAAAGTGCTGGATTACAGGCTGAACCACCAAGCCCAGCCAAAAAAATTTTCAAGTCTACAAAATAAGCAACATTATTTTTACTTCTTGTAAAAGTATTTTCAAAAAAACCACCAAACCTGATTATGCCTTCCTTGTAACATTCCTCCTAACTCCGGATTAGTGGAGACCAGAAAAAGTCCCCATGGGCACATGGGCTCCATGTGAGCAAAAGCAGCCACAACCACACAGGAAAGGTGTAATCCAGTGTTCTTTCCTGGGAAAGTTAGTAGGGTCACTTCATCTCTCCAGAGCTAGCTGTGCCATCCACTTGTTCCTTCAAATAGGCACTATCACTAGCCACACTGGAGGGTCTGGACTGGGCACGGAGATACCCTGATAATTAAGACACAGCTCTTGCCCCTAAGATTAGCTTAATGACTGTGGTTATCTCCATATTTGGAAAAGTGGTCATGTGTGGTTGGGCTTGTCTGCTTCAGATTAAGCAGCAGGCCCCTGAGAAGACTTTGCCAGTGAACAACCTTTGTTCTTTCAGGACTGGTTTTTTCACATATCAACTGTTAGTGGGATATGGCCTTCCCATCACTTGGCTGCAGAAACCTCAGTTTTTATCAGAATAGTGTTCAACAATGAACATCAAATTTAACTTTATCTCAGGCCCAAATTCTCAGTTCTCCTTTTCTCTCTATAATGGCTTCATTCGCCATTAGTATGAAAGATGAGATGTGGTACAACTTAATAGTCCCCTTCAGATCTTTTGTTTTTGAAAAAAGGAAGTTTTCCTAGGGGGAATGATGGGGTTTAAAATGCTTGTTTCCTTCATCTAACCTTATTTAGTGCTAGGATTACCACCCTAAAGACATTACCAGTTCCCAAGACAGAGGAGCTGCAGAAGAGGGAAAGAGAAGTGACAAACATCTCTGCTCTCAAACCTGCCCAAATGTTATTGTCTGGTCATTAAGTAGTTTCTATTTCAGAGTATCTGCCCTTGGAGGCAGAGGCTGGGACAACAGGGGAAAGAAGAAGGTCTCATGGGTTAGCTGATCAGCACAAGACCCAAAGGGCACTCGATCTAAACCAGATTACTGGCTGCAGCAAGACCGCAGGCCACTGTTAAGTGACACCTTGATTAGCTGCTGAAAGGAGATCCAGCTATTACACTTGCCTTCTAATCAAAGCTGTTGGGCCAAATGCATCTTTCAAGGCCACAAATATTTACATGTTTTGCCTTAAGAAATTGGGTAGAATTTCAAAGTCCAATTCAATTTGTGTACAATTTGGCCCTAATGCACTGAAACATAAGCTGCAGGCTTTGTGACTCATTAGTCAAGGTCCTTTCCTACATCCTATGGATAAGAGAGAAATCTTTGGCTTGAATGACACAGTCTCCTCAGAAAGTTTCCCAATGGAATGGATGATATCCAGCGACACAGGCCACAGAGCCCTACCCTGTGAACAATGCCACAGCACACCATCAAGAAACTAGTCCCTTCTCCCTATTTTTCAGATCCTTTCCAAAGAAAAACAAATTTCTCGAATGAAAAGATTAGCAGACTAAGCCCTCAGTATTAAAAGACAAAAAGAAGCAAGGAGATGACCTAAAGACTTGATGATTTACCTCCTGAATTAGCCATGAACTTTTACCCTGGCATTCAGAACATTCTGAAAGACAGATCCAACCTTCTCCACCATTCTTTCCTATATGTATTCCTCACAGCAGAAACGACCTTTCACTATTTCTGAAGTGTGTCTTCTATGTTCTGGCCTGTGCCACAGGCCACACTGTTAACATTGTCTGGGATGACTTTTCTCCACAAAGCAACCTGTCAAAATACTAGCCATTCTTGAAAGTTTGTTAAAAATCTCTTTTCTCCAGGAGATGTTTCCCAGCCCTACCTTTGCTCCTTCTAACCCCAACCTCAAAAAACATCAATGATCACTCTCCTTCCTACTTCATATTCATTTTACCCTTCTGATACTTATTTTTCTAGATTTTACTTTGTGTTTATCCAAACCAGATGGTCAGCGCTAGAGGCTCTTTTTCACTCATCTTTGCACCCCCACTGAATTCATGTACAGTACCTATATACAGTAAGCACTCAAAACATATTTGTTGAATTTCTCTTGCTTACAGTACTGATACTTGAACACATCAAAATCTAGAAGAAAACAAGTGAGTCAACAATTAGCTCACTACAGAAATAGGCATACATTGTGAATTAGACCCTTTGGTCAACAACTGGAGGTTTTTTATTTAAAAACATAATTTGCTTTCCATTCCACCATCAAAGTTGGGAAAAGTGCAAGATATGACAAACCTGTCTATGCCTTCTCACCTACCTGATTCTGAGTCCCTTAGGAACGTGCTTAAGGAGCAGTATCTGTGCAAAGCAGCAAGTCATAGTGCCCTGGCTCTGGGCAAGCTGTCAAAGTTCTCTATTCCAAGGGGGGGGCCTGGGCATAGCCCTGTGGCCTGGTTTCCTATCTGTGCTTGGCAACCTGACACTAGGCATAAGAGTGTAAGACTAACACCACCCTCATTTGTCAGAAGTCATGAGATTCAGGTCTAAGAATCTAGAAAATAAGCTTTTTAAGTCACAGAGGAGGCAGGCATAGTAGTGGGGAAGTCAGTGAGAGATGATACCAACAGGTCACTCTGTGTAGTCAACAACAAGCAAAGAAAGAAGTATCTCTCCCCATCAAGTCAGTACTGGAATCACTACCAGGAGGGACTGGGGAAAGTTCAGGTGTTCTCCAAGAAAAGAGGGCCTGGGGAATAAGAGGAACTAGAGACCCCACCTCATGTCGATCTCATTGAACGTGGTCAGCATTGCACATGTGTTCTGGGCCTCCTTCAGACGCTGAGCAATGCGCTGCCGCATCCTATTCATCTTCTCCTGAGAATGAAAGTGAACACGTGTTGACATCTGGCCTCTGGGCCAAGCACTTCGCATGCAGTCAGAAGAGCACTCGGCTCACCAGGAGTGGATGGCCAGGACGGCAGTACCAAGCACAAGAACTTCAGCTCCCTTGTCCCGTGGGGGCCCTTCCTCCTTTGAGCAGGAACGTGAACACACAGGCCAAAACCACTCACTCAGATGTGCCTGAAGTTTAACCAAGAATGGCAGCCCAGGAGGTAGTTTAATTTAAAAACCAAAACCAATTTATGAAAAGCAAAAATGTGATGTAGTCCAGCCAGCCTAAGAATCACAGCAAAAAGGGCGATTTCTGTTGATAAAGATTTGCATGAGAATAGCTACTTGTAGAAGGGAAACTCCTAAGCAACAGACTTTTGAGGCTATTGTATTTTTAGGAAGTATTCTCAGGCAGAGGAACCCACACTCCTGACCATACTTCCTTGAGGTTTTATGTCTGCAGCTGACAACTACTGCTACTGAGTAGTGTTCTTTAGCTACAGCTAAGTATCCCGGAAGTATAGGAACAGAGCCCACTAAATCACCTTTCTCAAGTATGTGACTTGTGGGAGGAAGGGGTACGTTACTAAGCTACCATCCCCTATAGATATTTTACTTACTTGAGGCACTTCATTGGCAGCATTAAATATAGTGGAAAAATCAAGTGTTCAGAAGACCTCAGGTTCTAGTCCTTTCACGTGATGGTTATGTGACTACGAACAAGTTCCTTCTTAAACTCCATTTCTTTGTCAAGGCCAAGGAGATGAGCTGCCAGCCATTCCAAGCCAAGGCAGGCACCACCACATCCACACTCCACTCATCTCAGCACTGCCTCTCTGCCTCTTTCCCTGAAGTGGTCCTCAGAGGCTTACCCGATGTTCTGAACGTAGACCTTTGCCAGCTCCTGGCTCCATTAGTGGAGGGGCAGCAGTGGGTTTTATTGCAGACACTGAAAATGAACAGAGAGGGTACAGCTGTATCAGAGGGAAAGGAAACAGCTACTGAGTATGGGCCAGTGCTTTCACACCATACTGTCACTTAATCCTCAAGGTATTCTAAGGAGTATTCATATCATTCCAATTTCCCAGATGAACAATCTGCTCAAAGTAGTAACTCATCTCAAGTCACACAGCTAGTAAACAGAAAGTTGGACTGCATAACTAGGTCTCTGGATACAAAGTCTCGAGTTCTTTCTACAAAGCAGCCAAACTGGGCTGTTCAGAACCATGATTAGTCTCAGACTTTACCCTGTGAGGGAACATATTAAGACAGAGGGTCTTCTCTCACATACTCACATATAGACATGAGGGAGTTGGAGGCTTACCTGGTTTGCTAGAAGGAGGTTGTGTGGGTGAGGGCACCGGTGGCATGTGAGTGGGGATGGGGGCTACAGGAGGAGAAATGGCTGATGCTGTAAGCTCTGCCTTGGGGGCAGTAGGTGCTTCAGCTGGCTTGGCCTTAGCAGGAGCAGCTGGAAAAGAAAAACAGATGCTATTGGCACTGTCTGGAATGGAAAGTCACCAAATTGCAGACACTAAGCAAAATTTAGTGGCAAAAAGCTCTATCTCCAATTAACAAATGTCTACTGGATATCTGCTGCATGCAAGGCACTATGAGACACATGCCATGACAGAAGGCACTATTCTCTATTCTCCAGACTCCATAAGTATCCCACGTTAGGTAACTGGCGCAATTCAGTTGCTTCCTGATTTTGCAAATATCCACTGATCACCATATTCAGCAAGTCTTTTCAAAGGACTTACTAAGCCCAAGAACATAAATTCCCAACAAAAAAAGGCCCAGGCAATTAAAAAATGTTAAAATACATACATAAATGTGATATAGTTCTAATCATGGTAACATTGATAGTCTCATCTTCTAATCTAACATTACATATGGAAGAATACTTTTAACTATTAAAGATAAGTTTAATTAAGAGCTCATTTAGGCTTGAGTTCAAAGCATTTTATTCAGGATGACTCTCATACTTAATCAATGACTGGTCAAGTAATAAACTCACAACTTCAAATGAGATATTATTTCTGCTTTTTACCCATCTGGACATCATATCCAGTTTTACAGTTAAGAAGGACTTTTTCAATGAAGACTCATTCTTATTTCCTAGCCTTCTACAATACATCTTTTTTTTTCCCATTCTGAGCTTCCGGTCTTGCTGCCCTGATCAATGTCAACAATGCAGTCTATAATTTTTCTGTTTGACTAGTTTAACAATGAAAAAGGGCCAGGCGTGGTGGTTCATGCCTATAATCCCAGCAGTTTGAGAGGCTGAAGCAGGAGGATTGCTTAAGGTCAGGAATCTGAGGCTGCAGTGAGCTGTGACTGCATTACTACATTCCAGCCTGGGCCACAGAGTGAGCAAGACTGCCTCTAACAAATAAATAAATAGACTTTAGTAGTTATTTCATTTAAAGAGTCAAAAAAGCAGTTATTTTCTTTTCTAATCTCGAATACTAACCATAAAGTCTAGCATAGATTCTCCTGTTACTTCCTGAGAGAAATACCAACCTTTCCTAAAGATGATGTGAGAAAATACATGTGAAAAGAAACTACACTGGATTCTCCATTAACGGACAATGAACATTTCCTTTGAGGCACACTAGTGCTCAAAAAGTTTTGAGGTTTGGAGCATTTCAGAGTTTGAATTTTCAGATTAGGTATGCTCCACCTATGCCTGTATAACTTTAGAAAAAGTCCACATGAAACATGCATGGAAAGAAGAGAGTACTATAAGGTTTTTAACAAGTCATTCTTCTTAACATTTAAAGTTCACACTACATAAATATTACTTTTTTTTTTTTGAATTGGAGTCTCACTGTCGCCCAGGCTGGAGTATAGTGGTATACTCCCAGTCACTGCAGCCTCGACCTGCTGGACTCAGGCGATCCTTCTGCCTCAGCCTTCCAAGTAGCTAGAACTACAGGCATGTGCCATGTCGCCTGGCTAATTTTTTGATTTATCGTAGAGGCGAGGTCTTGCCAAGTTGTCCAGGCTGGTCTCGAACCCCTGGGCTCAAGCAATCCTTTTGGCTCCGCCTCCCAAAGTGCTGGTGTTATAGGCGTGAGCCACCACACCTAGCTATTATCACCCTTCTTATGCTCTCAAATAAGGGCAGTTGGGAGGCCAGTCTTTGAGGGATCAGAGAACTAGTATGCTATGCTCAGTCCCAACCACAAGGGAGAACGCTGGAGACCGGGACCACCAGGAGAACTTTACCACCGGTTTTCCTGAGTGTGAAAAGAGGGGTGCCTCCTTCAACTTTTCCCCCATCAGGTACCAAAAGAGCTTCAATCACGCCATTTGCTGGTGATGGAACCTGCACAGATGTCTGGAAAAGGAAGACAGATTGAGAAAGACTCCAAATGTTCATCTAGCAGAAAATTAATTGTACAGAATCTCTACAATGAATTATAAGAGTTGGAACACAGGTATACAAGGCCCTGCACACAAACACCTAAGTAAGAGTGATGACAAATCAGTGCTATTGAGAAGAGACACCCTTTTTGTCCTTTCTCAGAAACAGTAAGGCAATATTCAGTTAATGGGTTTCCAAATAATACATGAGAAACAACTGGAAACAACTCATCCACCACAAACACACACACACACACACACCCAAAGCTATGGGACTACAGCTACTAAAGTATAAAGTACATACACACGGAATCATCTAAAATTAAACGTAAGGGTTTTTCTTCTTTTTAATTAGTTATTACAGCACTTGCACAACTGAGGTTAGAGCTAGTTAAAAATTATCTTTAGCCGGGCTCGGTGGCTCAGCCTGTAATCCCGCGCCTTTGGGAGGCTGAGGTGAGTGGATTGCCTGAGTCCGCGGGTTCGAGACCCGCCTGGGCAGCGAGACCTCATCTCTACAAAAAATCAGCTGGGCGTGGTAGCGCATGCCTGTAATTCCGGCTACTCGGAAGGCTGAGGCGGAGGGATCGCCGGAGCCCAGCAGGTGAGGCTGCGGTGGCCGGAAGTGGCCACTGCACTCCAGTCTGGGCGACCGAGTAAAACTCCAACTCAAAAAAAAAAAAAAAAATCTTTAAACAACAGTTATTAGGTTAAGAAATGAAAGGGAGATTGTGAAAAATTAGCACTAAGATAGGAAAAGCCTACCTTGTCAGTTTCAATCTCACAAACCACTTCATCTTCTGCAACTGTATCTCCAACAGCTGGAAAGACAATCAGAGGCTACCTGTTAGCAGCGAGCCTCTAGCAGTTACACAACCCTTTCTGGCAGGTTTGTTACAAGAGCCCTTTCCTATAGGGCCCAGGGAAAGTCTACATGTGGAGAAAAGGGTAATGCCATAAATTCCACAGACTACTGTGAAAGAGGGGAACTCTTAGAAAGCACTTAAAATGTGAGAAGAAACTAAATCTTACCTTTCTCCCACCTGACATCTCCTTCTGTGACAGATTCTGCAAATGCTGGGGTTTTGACTGTAACCAAATCATCCTCTAGGAAAAAAGCAAAAGTAAATCACAAGTAGTGTATTCTTCCTGAATTAAACTCAGCCAATTGTTGCTCTTCCCATTATAACTCCATTCCCAAAAAGGTAGGTACTTACTGCACACAGCTGTAGTTCTGAAGAAGCGAATGTTGAAGACACTACTGTTGTTAATGCTACAAAAGAAAGATAAAAGTTAACTCCCTTAGCAGGTGAACCGCTCACATTTTAGTCTAATTAAGGCCCATAGGTCATTTTCCTTTTAAATCTCGACCAGGGGTACCAATCTCCATCACCCAGGGGGATCTTCTGTAAAGTTCACAGGTCCAAGCTCCACCCCCAGAGATTCCGACTCAACAGGGCTGGGGCAGAGCCTGATGACTGGTGCCTTCCCCAGTGACTCCTCATGTGAGCACAAGACCCTGTGCTGCAATGCAATTTCAGCCCCCACCAAGTAGACAAACATTTGGTTCTTTGAAGAAAAAAATAAGCACCTTGGTGTTTCGCAGACCCACCAAGAGGACTTAGCTTCCTGATTAGGTTTCTTTTTTAACTAACTAAATTCAAGTAAGATACACAGTGTGTCCTTGGGGCACATGACACTGTACCAGGTATACTAGAATTTGTCTTCAGGATTACAGATTTAGATCAGATAAGGCAGCAAGATGAGATCGTTGAAAGAAATAAAACCAGATATTATGCCAAAAAAAAAAAAAAACAACTCGCATGGTATCTCCTATTCTTTTCTCTCGCTAGGAGGCAGCACCATTCGAGACTCATTCTAAAGGAACCTCAAAGTGCAAGGGCCCTGGTACGGTATTTACATTAAATGGTATAAAATAGAGAATGGTATCACTTTGTATACACAAAGCCACTAACAGCAGGCTGAGCTGAGGAAAGAAAGATGAAGACACATACAGCATCTATAGCTATCTGTTACTTACATATGCAATTTGGTAGAATGATTTGCACCGAGGAGGACTTTCATTTTTACACTTTAGCATTGTTTGAATAGTCTGTAGCAAGCCCTTTATAGTAGAAAAGTAAAATATTTAAGCTGCCTTTTGATATGTTTACTTTTTTTTTTGAGTTGGAGTCTCACTCTGTCACCCAGACCAGAGTGCAGTGGCCGCTCCCGGCCACTGCATCCTCGACCTGCTGGGCTCCGGTGATCCTTCCGCCTCAGCCTTCCAAGTAGCCAGAACTACAGGCGAGCGCTACCACGTCCAGCTAATTTTTTTGATTTATTGTAGAGATGAGGTCTCACCAAGTTGCCCAGGCGGGTCTCGAACCCTCATGCTCAGGCAATTCACTCCCCTCAGCCTCCCAAAGTGCTGGGATTACAGGCTGAGCCACCGAGGCCGGCTATGTTTACTTTTATAATGTCAAAATAACCATAAGGTCTATATATAATCAAGAATAAACTAAGCTATTACAAAAATACAGAACACAAAATGTTCTGCATGTAGTTTATTATAAGCATGTGAAAGTCCATGCCGTGGGCAAGAACAGGCAACACGCATGTGCAGAGACTGCTCTGCAAGGCACCCAGGAACCTACAGCACCAGCCCACCTGGGAAGAGCAGCCAGTGGGGATGGAGGACAAGGGTAGGAAACAGTTTTACTTTTTGAGTTGTGAACCATGTAAATATATTACTTATTAAATAAAAACATAAAATCAAAAATAGATGCTAAAATAAAGTGGGTCCCTCATTCACAGAAAGAAAACACACAACACAAAAACAGATTAGGGTGACACAATTAGAGGCGATCCTACTCCTATGTTTTGGGGTTTTACTATTTACTTTTTTTTTTTTTTAAAGTCAGGGTTGCTGAGCATGGTGGCTCACACCTGTAATCCTAGCACTTTGGGAGGCCAAGACAAGAGGTTTGCCTAAGCCCAGGGGTTCGAGACCAGCCTGGGCAACTTGGCGAGACCTCGTCTCTACAATAAATATTAGCCGGGTGTGGTGGCATGCAATTTGGTAGAATATTAGCCGGGTGTGGTGGCATGTGCCTGTGGTTCCAGTTACTTGAGAGGCTGAGGGGGAGGGATCACCTGAGCTCAGCAGGTTGAGGCTATGGAGGCTGTGAGCATGCTACTGCACTCCAGCCTGGGTGACAGAGTGAGCCTCTGACTCAAAAAATTAAAAAAATAAAGTCAGGGTCTCACTCTGTCCCCCAGGCTGGAGTGCATGACCAGATCACAGTTCACCACAGAATTGACTTCCTAGGCTCAAGTGGTCCTCCTGCCTCAGCCTCCCAAGTAGCTGAGGCTACAGGCATGTACCATATCCAGCTACTTTTTTGATTTTTTGCAGAGGTGAGGTCTTGCGATGTTGCCCAAGCTGGTCTTGAACTCCTCAACTCCAATGATTCTCCTGCCTTGGCCTCCCAAAGTGCTGGGATTACAGATATGAACCACTGTACCTGGTCATTCACTTTCAAATAGTTATTTGTTGTATTTATTGTAGAGAGGTTCATGATCGTCCCATTTTTCATTTAACTTCAAATAAGCAGTACATTTTTAATCTTTCTAACTCTTTAAATCACAAAAGCACTAGATGTTCACTGCAGAGTATTAGAAACAGCAACAAGAATGTTTGTAATGGGATTATACCACAGTAGAAAATGAAATCATTTTGTAACCTGCTTTTTTCAACTCCTCATAGTCTGAATATGTTAACATGCCATAGCTTAACCAATCCCCTGCTGTTCCCTGTTTTGAGAGAAATCTGAGAATACCAGGAATTCTTCAGCACAGATTCCTAGGAATGGAATTGCTAGACCGAAAGGTACACACAATTCAAAGATTTTTGGTTGCCAAACTGCCCTCTAAGAATAACACAGGAATTCTTCTGGTACTGAGTGTAACATTTTCTCAACTAAAAAAAACCAAACAATCTTACTGTGATACACAGTAAAGAAGAAGCTAATCTGCTGTTGAACTGGTTACTAGAGAGCACCCTCTTTCCACCACCCCAAAGATACTTGGAATGCAAAGGAGCATTTAAGTCACATTCCTAAGCAGAAGTTAATCTGAAACACACATACTGACCTTTCTCCAAACTCTGCATTATGCAATAAAACATAAAATCAAAAATAGTTTTATAATAAAAGATAAAGTGAATTCCTTAAAAATAAAGTGAGTTCCTTATTCACAGAAACTAGTCAAAGTCTCAGGGCTCAACTGGTCTTATGCTTTTATTGTTTCTAAAATGAATAACTATGCTACCAAAAGAGGCTCTCAATATCCACAATAAATGTAACCTCCAGTCCCTCAGCGGCACTAGAACTAGAATACTTAGGACATTCTTCTCTATCTATTCACATTTTTTAAGGGGTTCCAACTTTACTGTCACCATACATCTAATCACCTCAGAAGAGCAGGCACACTCCTGGCCAACATGTGACAGGGGCTGATGCTCAAAGAACACCATACAGAAAAAGCGAACAACAGGGTCAGGTCTAGGGACTCAACATACACCTTGATTTCTAGGTCTAAAGGCCAGTGAAGAAATCAGATAATCAAATTAGAACTTATGTCCTAATAAATACCCTGTGGCCACATATCTGCACTTCCCAGTGATACTTACACAGTCTTCCTGCTGTCAGGGTAACCTGGTCCCTGGCATAAGGAGACCCCTGCAAGAAACAGAATAACTCTTAACTTACAAAGGGTATGTGCTGGGCATGATCCATTCACCCCCTAACCCTAAAATAAAGCAGGATCAACTGCAGCCAATGATATAATCTTTATCACAAGAGTCCTGCTTCTCAAACTGTTTCAAAGTAGCCTTAATGGCAGAGAGTACTGGTTATGTGGGGTAGAGAAAGGGTATGTTTGGGGAAGAAAAGGGAGAAATCTGATGGTGTAGCCCAAAGTGGTTTCACAATCTTATTTACCTTAAAAATGCATAAATTTTCATATTCCTATATGATTTCATAATAAATGTCTCCTACTCCCCAAGGCTTCAAATATAACCGAACTTGAGAAAGACATGTGATGGCTTATCCTGACTCCAGTAACCTCATCTAAGAAGTACTGAGGATATCTGGTCTGGGTGTGAGTGGATTGGGATGGAAATCTTACTGCTTGGGCTACTTTAGGCCCAGGGTCTCCAACGTGTCCTATGACCAAGAAAAGCACTTCCCTACTTTTCAGTGTATAGTCTTCCCGTGTTCTTCTGAAGTCTTCCACCCTGGTCACTCTCAACAAGGTAGAAGCCCCTTTCTGCCCACCAGCTGTCCTTAACTGCACTGCTCTAAAGGATGCGAATAACCACTGCAACCTCCACTGAATATATTATTTATATGATGTCTTATTTTTCTCAGCTCTATTGACAACTCTTTCTGAATCACAGACTCAGGAGACATCTTATGCCCACCTGCTCACAAGGAAGCCAGTCACCTCTATGACCAGCAGCCAATAACTATGCATGCAAATTCCAAGCACAGCATATCTTTGAACTAGAACAGCCAGCAGCCCAAAATGATTTTTGGAACCCTGAGTCCAATTCAGAGTTTGTCCTATAGCAAGTTTCATTTGTATTGTGCTTTACATAGGGTTTATAAACTGCTTTCACATAATGACATCATTTTGGTTTTCAAGTCTCACAACAGCTCTCTAAAGTGAACGACCATCTGCCATTACTCCCATCTCATATATAAGTTGGGTTTTTGGAGGTTAAGTGACTAGTCCAAGGTAAATTCCTGAGCTAAGAGGCAAACCCCCAAGTGCAAGACTCTTTCCATTGTCCTGCCAGTCTATAAAGTGAAGAAAATGTTTAGTGACATTTTTCAGTATTCCCCTTTAAAAAGATGTTTATAACTGAGGGTCCACTACTAGCAGACACTATGCTAGGTCCTTATGCACTCATTATCTTAGGATGAAGTCAAAATGCTTAACACCACCCTGTATCATTCAGCCCTCCTTGTCCTTCCAGCTCACAGGTTTCCTTTCTTTGTTTATAACTGGTCAAGTTCCTTTCTGTCTGAAAACCTTTGCACAAGTAATTCCCTTTGCTTGGAATATCATTTTCTTGGCTAACTCTTCTGTATTCGTCAAGTCTCAGCTCAAATGTCACTTATTCAGGGAAGACATTCCCACCACATTCCCCACCTTCCCAAGTTGGGCTTCGTCATCCCATTCTCTCATCACTCTCGTTGTCTTTCATAATAACCACGATGTAATTATACCCTTAAGTTTGCATACACGTATATTTGCTCTGACTCTCCAGCTAGCCCATAAGATCCTTGAAGGCAGAGACTATCTGTATCCCCATGCCTTAGCAGTAGCTGGCATGTAGTAAGCACTCAATAAATGACCTGTTGAACACATGAGAAAATGAAAACATGGTGGGTTAAGAGTTCAGGTTGAGTCAGGTATCCCTGGCTTATCAATGTCGGCTGAGCAACCTTGGCCAAGGCACTTAACCTCTCATCTTGGGTTATGCATTTGTAAAACAGAGATAACATTTCTTTCACCGTTTTGTGATGATTTTAAAAATTCACAGAAAGCACTTGGAACAATGCTTGGCACAAAGAAAGCCCACAATAAGAATGACTCATTCTTATGCTAGGTATATAACCAAAAAAAGCCATGTAAGATACATTACTAATAATTTCAACAACAACAACAAAAAACGATTGGGATAAAATCTAAATTCCTTCCAAAAGTCTCCACACCACCTTCTCTCTCATACTGCTCTTTCCCTCTGGGTCTTTGTACAAGTTATTCTCGCTCTCCTGCTCTTCACTAGGCTAGCTCTGTCACACCTCCAGGTCACAGCCTTAATGTCCGATCTCCTTTGTCCACCCTCAAGTTTCCTCCTCAGCATTTACTAAAACGTGTGACTGTCCACTTTAGAAACGTACACCTTCTCTTTCCCACTAGCCTGCGAGCCCCACAGGCGGAGGACTGTCCCCTGCGGGATCCCTGGTGACTGCCCAGCGCACGCAGGGGCACAGCAGAAACTCAAAGCTGAGTACGGCGGCTGTTCCGATTCAGCAGCATCTCGCTTCACTCCCGCCTGGACTGAGCTGTCTCCGAACGTGATGAGGAGACACCCTGGCGCCCCGACTTCCCCACACTCCGCCCGGGAGGAGGCGTTTCAGGCAAGGCCAGGGCAGGACTTACCAGGCAGGGAACGTCTCCCTGGAGGGCAGCTCCCCTGTGGAGACAGAAGACGCGGCCGGGGTCACCCGGGATGGGAAGAGACCAGAAACGAGTTTCTGTCTGGGCGCCACTCAGGGCCGCCCGGGGCTGGTGACAGGTGGGCCTCGCACTCCAGGCAGACGCGGCACGCTGGCCTCGGGGTCCCTGCCCTCCCGGGACCCCGGCTGGACCAGGACCGAAGACGCGACGGGAGTCGGGCCCGCGGGTACCCTGCGTCTCCAGCCGACTAGGCGCGGCCCCGGCAGAGGGCGGGGAGCAGCGACACGACGAGCAACGTCGGACACGGCGAGGACATGGACACGGCGGGGCTCGC